GTTTTCATAGTTAAGGTCATGTCTCCTCTCACGGAGTTCTTCCGCAATCTTTCCCCATAACCATCCAAAGGTTCTCCTACGGGATCCATTTGAGGACTCTCTGATTTTGTCAGTGCACCTCCTCAGCATCGGAACGGCTTTCACCTGATGCCAAAGCCAGCTGTAGAGTGTCGCCTCTGCAGGGCGGTCTCCTGGGCGCAAGCCATGCAAGATGTAATTGCCACGTTTCACAAACTCTGCAAGATCCTTCGCAGTCTTTCCCTGCAATTGGAGCTGTAAGAGATACATTTGGTTCAAAGCGATGGATTGGTCCGGACCTATTTCGTAAAAGGCAATAATGATGTGCATGAGAGCCATGCCTTTGGGTCCCTGCTGTTTCGCTGAACATGATTCCACCCACGACGTGAGTTCGTGCGCTAGCTCTGAGTTTGTGGCCAACACCTCTGGTTTAATCAGCTCGGCCGCCACATGTTTATTGAATAACAAAAAGTCATTCGAACTCTGAAGATAATCTCGGAACCGTCTACCTCGACCACCTTCCATGCACCATGTGGCAAACTTCACTAGCACATCCCGGTTCGTTATGTCAACCCTGCTAACTGCGGCCAAGAATGCCGCACGCCACTCGCGACACGAAGTCGCGTCGTTGGGAAGCTTGGTAATCTGAATGGACTTGAGGTGCTTGTGCTTGTAAACACTTTCATCAGTTTCATCTGGCAACAACCAACCATCTTTGGGAGCCTGATTAAAACCATCCTCATTTGAGTCCTTCGATGATGATGACGAACCATTTGTTGGTGAACTGTTCTTGGGTGTGTGAATGGAAAAGGATGGAATCCCACCATGTTGTGAGCCCTGAAGTCCAGCAGGTTTCGGTTTCTCACCTTGTTGTCCTCTACCTGGTACAATGTACCCGGCTTGGATTCTGGGGCCATTCGGGTCAAAACCACCCCATTGATTTGTTGTACCACCATTTGATCCAACCCCAAGACCACAACCAGTCTGAGCCATCAGCCCCCCTGAAGCTAAGTTCCCACTCTGCGCGACATTTGACGCGCATCCTCCAGGAAACCTCGCTGAGATCGCCATAGGTGCCGCGGCCGCAGCTGCGATAGACGTGCTGCTAGCTGCCACACCTTGCAATGCTCGGAAGCTGGATGGTGCCAAACTTGGAGGCGGACATGGTGCTGGGTCAAAACCATGATCCTGAATTCTATTCAAATCCGCGCCATTCTTGGCTGTCAATGTGCTCAGTAATGTTGAACATCTCCAACATGACGGTCGTCCAATGACATTCTGTGATCCACAGCATGTACAGTACATCACTTCCAGAGGATTGGCACTAGCAATACTAGCACCTGCTGACATGATTTCAGTTGGCTGGGCTGATTGGTAAGCTTGGGGTAGATGTTCAAAAGGATTCCCAATAGGTGACCCCATCATCGTCCCAGATGTCGATCCTACCCGTTCAGGATGGGTCATGATCACCTCCAATTTGGAGCTAAGTTCCTTGAGCTCCGCCACAGCCCTCTGTCTTTCAGATTCGGCCTGCAACTTCACGAAGTTCACTTGGCCCTCAGCCGACTTGCGGCTATCCTCAAGTTCTGCCTGTAGCCTCATGTTGTCTTCGGACAACTTCTTAATCTGGTTGACGGCTTCTTGTTGAAGTTGTTCAAAACGTTGTTGTGCCTGTTGATGAGTTTGTCTCTCTCTCATCTCAAGCATCTGTTTCTCTTGGTTGAGTTGTTGCAACTTTTGGTACACCTGATCTTGCAACATTTGGTGATTGTTTCCTGCCTGTTGCCTGATGCTTTCAACTTCTTGTTGCGCTTGCTGTCGGAGTTGCTGATAGTTTGCCTCTGCCTTTGCGTTTACCAGTGATTCCAACAATTGTTCCAACTGTGTAGGGTCTATCTGGTTGACCTGTTGTTGATACATATGTTGTTGGATGGTATTGTGCTGATGAAGACTAGGGGGAACACCGTGTTGACCCGAAGCTGAACTTCCACCCCATTGAGCTGAACCACCAGATGCCGCAGCTGACCCCTGTCCTCTCTTCAGCCTGTTCGCCAAAGATATCGCCTCCTGAGTCGGGTTGGCAGGTTGGTCACTAATGTGCATCATTGCAGCTTGCTGAGATTGCTGTTCTGCAAGTTTCTCTGGGGAGTCAGTCGATGAAGTCCATGTACTGTTGGGTCCGTCCACTTTGAATGGGGTCGCCGGCACCTCCCTCTTCATGTTTTGGCACGGGAACTCAAATTCAGGGAACTTGTCAATGCCAATCAGCTATGCAAAATTGCGCCAGATGGCAGCGAGCAAAACTGGCAGTGCAAACTTCTCCAACAAATCGCGCAAGCGCGAGAAGGAGGGCAAAATGCCGAACACCAAGCTTGCAGTGAAACAACCTGTTGCGGTGAAACTATGTTGCAGTGAAACTTGAAACAAGCAAAAATTGCGGTGAAACTCCTTGGCAACAATTGCAGTGAAACCTCGTTCTTGCTCTTGCTCTTGCTCTTGCGCTTGCGCCGCTGAGAAATGAGTCAATGAACAACTCCTCAAGATGTCCTGCACTCCTTCACCAGAGGCTTCGCAAGAAGCTGGGCAACCCGAAATCTGCAGCCGACTCCTCCTCCAGTAGATCGTCGAGCTCCTCAAGAGCTGCCGATGGCCGATTGGCGTGCGAGATCAACACCCGACACCTGTTGCCAGCGGCTCGACGAGCCTGAAGTTGCTCCACCTCCTGCAGGAGGGAGCGCTGGTCGTCCACAAAAATGGCCGCCCCCACACGGCAGACTTCTTCTGCCTTAGATGTGGCACAGCCCGTGAGCGATGGCCTGTCACGGGCAGGATCCGAAGTGAACTTCCGGTTGACCACGTGGATGAACCTGAAAGCTCGTGTCAACTCAGTCTCAAGATCACGTGCCTCACGAAGCACCCTGGACTGAGTGGCTGGCGCCGATGCGAAGGAGCAAATGCCAAGATCGTAGCCCTGAGCTCGTCGAAGCGTCTGCTTCACCCTCTCGGGCACGTAGGATCCACCACTCTGAGACTCAAAGGACAGCGTCCGATGCCAATCAAGAACTATGAGCGGTCGCTCAACCGAAGTTCCTGGGCGAGTAGATGCCACCGATGAATCTGGAGATGAACGAGGTTCGGCCTTTGCCTTGGCCACCACTGTTGCCTTTGGAGCAGCCTTAGGCTCCGCAGGCCTCAACGATCCCCTTGACCCGATGCGAGAAACTTCACTGGTCCCTGCCGTCGATGATGTCCTGGCCGGAACTCGAATGGTCCTCCTTGTGGTCACTGGAGTCGATGCTGAGGCTGTATCGCGCTCTGCGCGAGCTGTTCCAGATGTCCTCACCTCTCTTTCGCGCTCAGCGCGAGCTGATGTCTCCGCCGGCCGAGTTCGATCTTCGCGCACAGCGCGAGCTGATCGCCGGTCGAGGTCGATCTCCACCTTCGCGCACTGAGTTGATGTTGTCACCAATCGAGATGGATCGCCGCTTTCGCGCGCTGCGCGAGGTGATGTTGCTGGATGAGATGGAACTTCCCTTTCGCGCTCTGCGCGAGGTGATGTTGCTGCCCGATTGGATGAACGTCCCTCCACAACACCAGCCGAGTCCCGTGAGCTCCTGCCTTCCACCCCTGTCGGAGTTTCCGCCGAAGATCGATCAGAACGCCTTGGCACTGGTGCCACTGAAGAAGATGTCAACCGAGGACGAGACGCCGAAGTTGGCTCAGAATCACCAGCAGGCCTGTCCCTCACGTCAGCCTGCTCTGGGACCCAAACCCACCTCCACTCACCCCTAGCACCCGGTGCCGGTGGTGGTGGCTGAGGTGGCTCCGGAGGTGCCCGACTAAGTTCCTCTGCTGTAGCAAAATCGATTGCTGAAGACACACCGCGGTTGTACCTGCTCAATTGGCTGGACCTCCACGGGTTGCCCCCTCGTCTGCCACGAGTTCGAACTCTTGATCGGGAACGGTCACATCTATGATCAGACGTGCAGTCGCGCCAATGGCGGCGAAGGATGGGAAAATTGTCGCGCAAGCGCGAGTGAAAGATTGAAGGTGCCAATGAAAGAACAATTCAGTGATCTATGCAATTGAAGTCTTAGATTTCTTGCCGATATGTTCAGTCTTTCAATAGCTCCCAATTGATCTCACAACTGCAGAAATAAGCCGGGCTACGGCTGATAACCACAAAATTCCAGTAAATCCAGTGAATGCGGGGATTGTACCAGAAGTAATATTGACGTGTATTCAAGATGCAGTAGTCAACAGATGTAACAATGGCCAGTGAAGCTAAGCACAAACACCTGTTTTAGCGGGCACCTTGAGCCAAACGTTGTTGGCCAAGTAAATGGTTTGATGACCAAAACCCCGGATTACAGGATTAAGGAAATGAGTTATCATTGTTGATAACTATTTGAATAGTCTAGTCCCGTTGTAAAAGCCCTGACATTATGTACACTCTACAGTCAAAGGCAACAACAATATAGTGGGCTCCGTTTTGGGACCACTATGTGGTATGAACATGCATACACGGCATAGGGGTTATTCGAGTATTTTCTACTATAAGTTATATAATATCTGTTCATATCTTTTCCGTTTCTGATTTTGCTTCGATTCATTTTCGATGCTGAATGACAAGTACATGATGGCAAAATGCAAAAAAAAGAACAAGTACGAACATGATAATTAATTAATATTAGCTGCACACATGAGGGAAACACGATAAACAAATGAGAATGACACATGATTGGAGAATGAAAAAAAATGAAAATTTACAAATTCACATAATCGGAGAATGATATGAAACAGGAAAAAAATGAAAAACAAAATAAAAAAAAAATGAAGAAAAAAAAACTTGGTCCGGACTCAGTCTGTGGCTGTAAGATTCTCATAAGTCTAGCCGGTCTGGCATAAGCGCAAAAAGATGCAAAAAGATGAAAAGGAAACCTGATATCAATTGGACAAACCACGCACGTCGCCACGCCAGCCTCCCGCAAGTCGCAGTAAATGTCTGCCAGAACATTCAGCGCTCTCGCCTCACCTGACCTGTCCTTCTTTTCCTGGAAGAGCTCCTGTGCTTCCTGACGCGGGGCGGCAGACTCAAGAATTTTCATATATAAAAATATTCATGAATTTCCTGTCATCTACAGCTGTGCTCTGCTCAGCTCTTTTCTGTATAGTATATAAATCGAAGTGTTTGCAGCTGTGCCTTGGCCACTCGCAGGGCATCATCCAGCCTACCCTCTGTGCCGTGGACTGTGGCAACAGTCAAGAGGCATGAGGCTTCCTGGTGCAGCTCAAAGGACGGCGTACTTTCACTCGCTTTCAAGCTTGAAAATTGCCAAAATGAAATTGTTCATAAAGATGCCACTCAAAGACCCTGTGTGTCGCATGCCCATGGGCCTTGCTCTTATCGCCAGTCTCATTGAAGATCGCGGCTTGCTCTTGAGCTGTCTGTATGGCCTAAAGCACCCAAAGTGTCCGCATGTGGCTAAAAGCCGGAGACGGTTGATATCATTGGACGGGAATCACACGAAAGCAACGGAATGCAATACAATGCAAGAAGTGTTGCCTTTTCGTAGTCATTCTTGGCAATAGCAACCTGGGTGATGTAGTTCATAGCCAAGGCCTCGAGGGGCGGCAAGTTGAAGACAGAATCGCATATAGTCGTTAGTCGTTATGAATCATATATGAATCATATATGAATCATATATGAATCATATATGAATAGACAATAGATTGAATATGATTGAATAGTTATGATGAGTTCTATTGAGTTCTGCAGTTCCAAATGAGTTTCAACCACCCTGCCTCACTATGCCTATCTTTGAGATCCTGGCAATGCGATGAGTGAAAAAGAAAATGCACACGCTCTCAGATTCCGTTTCGACGCGGCTGCGCACCCCTCCTGGTAAATTGAGATGGCTTCCTCTGCTGCAAAAGCAGCTTCGGCGTATGATTCACGCAGCCTCAAGTGGTCAAATCTATTTCTCAAAACATGATGCGCCATGTAGCCTCCAGAACCATAAGTCCATTGCAAGAACACATGAATGTCATGATAGTTGAACAACATTGCCCAACTATGCCCAACTCATCAATGGCTGCGGCGGCTGCTGCACCGGCATCATTTAAAGTCAAGCAGCATGTGAACCGATGCCAGCTGGTGCAGGATGCTGGCTTCCCACCTGCAAGGATCAAACATGTATTCAGCGCAACAGCAATTTCGAACTCAACTCTTAGAACTCAGGCAAATTTTGCCTCTTCCGTTTCTTAGAACAAAATCCTGCACTGGCTCTGTTTCTGACACAAACAGTGCCCCGCCTACTGTCATCCAAGCTCTGAATGATCTCACGTGTCTCCTCAATCAAGGGGACCGCTGCTTCATAGTCGCCTGAGGCGAACCATCTGCAACCGATTTGAAAAACCAAGACAATAAATAAAATAAAAACCTCGAAGCATCTCCAAGCATACATCCTAATACATCCTAATACATCCTAATACATCCTATACATTAGGAGTTTGCTGCCAAGCAGCCCTTTGCACAGTAGGAGTTTGCCAAAGTGCTTAAAGCCATGACTTGTCCTGACAACACTCAAACCTCAAGAAGTTGCACAGCAAATGACGTTGAACATTGTTGAACCATGGACAGGCATCAAGCCCCCTGGATCCCCCTTTATCCCCTTTGAACAAAAGGTGCTCAGCTGGTGCAACAGTTGAGTGTCCTCGCTTGTCTTTTTTGCGTTGAAAGTACTCCACAGCTTCCTCGGAAATGATCATTGCTTTCTTTGCATCACCCTGGCAGGGAGAAGCATTTCAACCAGAAACAATGCTGGAAGACGTTCTAAGGCGAAAGTTCCTAGTTACGTGGTTCCAAAACCCTGTACGAGTTCATCTTCCCGAAACATCTCATGCTCAACATGTTCAATGCTTTGCACATTATGACCCCAACAAAATCAAGATGCTCTGTGAACTGGCCTTGCAAATGAACGCTTGCGTAAGGCAATCAAATGCGTTGGAGGTCCAACCGGAGCCATCAAAGTCCACTTCCTTGAAGAGCTCTAAGGCATCCTGCCAGGCATGCGTCAGGATGTGTCAGGCGCATAAACATGATGAAATGGAAGATGAAATGGCTGGCAAATCCTTCTTTCAAACTGAAAGCGATGTCCTCTGCATATGGAATGGCTTCACGGCCCATCTTTCGTGTGAGGTAATAGTGCGCAATGATGAAAAGTTCAAAGGCTTCCAGCTTTCGAAGCTCCAGCTCTTTGAAAATGGCTAGGGCTTGCTCTGCCGTCTTGATTCCGTCGTCAAAATCTTCAGCCAAAACCTTAGCCATGGTGGAGCACCACAAGTTTGTTGAGCTGTAGGAACTATGCAATTTCTGAGAGACGCTGAGCCGTTGACCTGGGCCAAGGCCATAATGTGGAGTGCCTTTCCCTGACCCTTCTTGTCAGCTGCTTCCTGGTCACAAGGTAAAATTTCTTGTGAGAACTTTCTTGGTCTTGCCTTGCGTTTTGTGCTGGCTTGTGCCATGTCTTGCCATGTCTTGCAGTTCTTCCAGTCCGACCTCGTACAGCTTGTATGACTCCTGTGCAAAAGCATAGGAGTCATCATTCTGCCGGAGCTTGATGGCTGCGTTAGCTTGAACGAAAATGGCAGTAGCTTCTACCTGGCCATCCACGCACAAACGTCCAACTCTCGAAAGGTGACCTTTCAAGATCATTCCTACCAAGTTCCGCACTGTTGGATACTGTTGGTGGTAAACTATGAAGGTCAAGGTATGTCAAGGTCAATGAATGCTTTGGGAAACTTCCAGCCCCACCTTCTTGTCGCCAGCTTCTTTTGCTAGAGACCGCGCTTTCTTCAAGTCTTCAAATGCCTCTGCTCTTTTCTTTCCACCTGGCACCGAGTCAAGACAAAAAAATGCAGCCCCTATCACCATCAGTAAAGGTCTTCAAAGCTGTGCCAGGAACCCTGTACTGGGCCTCGTTTGTTGTAGTTGATCTCCCCTGCTGCAAGGAGGAGAACTGCCTCACTGCGCTTGTCCCCAGATCCGTTGAACTTGGCAATGTGCTCTCGGGCAAGGCCCTCTGCCGTGCTCAAAGCGGCCTGGTGAACAATCAGCAAAGCTGTTCCTCTCGGCTCTAAAGCATTCTAAAGCAACTGGGAAATGTTGCATATATAGCCACACTTCATGCTGACGCCAACTCTTGCCTTGATTTCTTTGGACTTGTCCTCTTCTGCACTTCGCAGTACGTCAGCTTGGATCCGGTAGGCTAAAACCATCATTCCTTAAACCACAGCTGGATGCGAGGCTCACTAAAGGCAAACTGGTCAACTGGACTAATCAATCCAAGGCACTGAGCGTATCTGCAGCGCCAGTCGCATGCTTGATTGCCTGTTGACAAACGTTGATAGGAAAACAAAAGTTGACAATGCATGACAATGCCTCAATTGGTTCCAGCGCTTTTGACATCATACTGCAGATAACATCGTATGGTCACGGTGCCTCAAACTTCTGAACCGCAGTCTTGGACAGAGACAGGCACCCATCTACATCCTGGAACGATGAACCATGCAGCATCTCCCTTTTCAGCTCAGATATGCTCAGATTGACGTCTGCTGCAGGCTGGTGCTTGAAAACGAACCTGTCCTCCTTGTCCAGTTTTCCTTCTGCTTCCACAAAAGCCAAGCATGCATCTTTTTCTTTCTCTGATGTTTTCGGGTCTTTGGCAATAGCACCTGGGTCGGACAACAATGCAAAAGAGGTATCAATTGTCCGGAACACTTCCGAGGTCGGGACCATAGTACTCACCAAGACCGTTAAACCTTGGATTCATAACAAGAAACTCAAAAGGTAGTAAGAAATTAAAACTACAAAAGCAAAAAAAACAATTCATCACATTGAAGCCGATGTCTTGGGGGCATCACGCAAGTTCGAGCGCTCCTGCAACTTCTTGGACGGACATACTTTTCGCAGTGCTCAGGTGTGGCCTGGCACAGGTATTAAGAAATCGAATCTTAGAGGCTCAGAAGTAAGACATAGTTCTTAACCGGGACTTAGCCTTATATACATAGTTTTGTACAGTAATATTGGCAACCTCATGGCCATGCCCATGGCCATGCCCTATGTCGGCAAGACTTGCCAGCCCCAAATCAGGCCAGGTCAGCTGTGTCCGTCCAAGGTGCGAGCGCTACAAGAGCAGCGGCTGCCTTTTCTGTGGCAGCTTGATCCAAATGGCAAAGGCCAGAGAGCGAAAGGTCAGCAAATGTGGAACGTCTAAGCTGCTGGTGCTAGATATAGTGACTTGGCATCCCTCAACGTTGGCAGGACACAAAATTTCAACCTGTTTCCACCAAACACACACTTTGCCCTATGCAAGCAATGTATGGAAACACTAAGTTTGGCATGGTTTTGCATCCTCTGCTCGTCGTTCCCAGGGTTCTTGGACTGAATTTTCTTGGACTCCTTGCAGAAAGAACTTCACGTCCCCCTTCTCTTCAACAGAAGATGTGAGAAGAATTTCAATGCCAAACATCCCGCCAATCCCTATCCTTCGGGCCACTGGTAACTCTAAAAAATGAATGCTGATGGGCTCAGCCTGGCTACCTTGCCGACATCCTTTCAACAAATGCTCTCCTTCATCCTCGGTGTCGTCATCTTCATTGTCCTGGTCATTGAACGAATCAACTGCCAAGCTGATGCGACAGCTGGTTTGAAGATTCGCCTTGCACTGACCATACTCTTTGTGCAGCTCAAAGCCTCCTCCTCCTCCTCCTCTGCTACTTCGCCAGAGAAAGGGGACCTCAGCACTGCCGTTCAGTTCCAGGCATGACCATTCATATCTCTGTACATATGCATTTATATATTCATATATTCATATAGTTAAACATGTACCTACCTATCTATCTATCTTTCTATCTTTCTATCTATCTTTCTATCTATCTATCTATCTATATGTGTGTGTGTCTATACATTTATGTAATATGTTAATATTTAAGTTCACATATATATATATATATGTGTGTGTGTATATGTGAATATATATATATATGTGCATAATATGTACAAAAATGTGTGTGTATATATGTATGTATGTATGTATGTATGTATGTAGGTAGGTATGTATGTATGTATGTATGTCTGTGTGTGTGTATGTATGTATGTATGTATGTATGTATGTATGTATGTATGTATGTATGTGTGTATGTGTGTGTGTGTGTGTACCATCTGAACAGATGTAAAACTTCTGATTGGTTTTCACAAATTTGCAGGGGGTGGTAGCAGGGTCCAGAGTCTACCACCAACGAAGACACTCTGGCTTCCCTGGTGATACATGGCCTGATCAGCCATGCGTACCTGCAGCTCGAATTTTCCGAAATAGCAAGGGGCCACGCTTAGAACCCCAACCACAATGTTATACAATTTGCTGCACTGTTGTCGCAATCTGGAATCAATTTTGAAATTTACATGCATCAGAACCTTTCTCAGATTTTCGCCGAAACCATATCGCCGACAGTATTATGTTTTTTTGACTTATTTTCGCCGAGATCCTGTCGCCGACGAACTATGGGTTATTTTGGGAAACAATCGCCGAAACATCGTTTTGGATTTCAACATGCTGGTCAAAAAACTCTATGAAATCTGGTTATGACTACGTTTGACAATTTCGGATGCCCTACATCGTTTTCGAGAAGTACCTCATGTGGCTCTTTTATTCATCAAATAACCTAGGCTGGTTTGCATGTTTCAGGATTCAGTTCCTGCCGGATCATATAATGATCCATTCTTGTCTGGTGTGATTTCCATGGTGGCTCCGACATGGTGCCATGGAGCCAATTGAGGCAACCCTTTTCAGGGTGAGCGTTGACAGTCTTGAATTCTGAATTCACACATTTTAAATTAGTAATTCATCTAAGTAAATCGCAACAGTCGGCCTTTCTGTTTTGCACCGTTTGTGATGTCCCGCGCTTCCGGCTGTCCCTTGAGATCCTTTGTGATTTGCATTCTTTACAGCGAGAAGCCGTGCTAAACGTCGGAAACCTCCTTTTTGCAGCTCTTTTACAGCGACATTGCACCATGTCTCAACACTGGACACAGGCAGGCACACGACTTGCAGGTTTGGTTTTCCTTTCTTTTGATGGTTGTCTGGTGAGGTGAAACATTTTGTGCACCTAATTCGATGGAATTTGGAAGCTGTCTTATGCCATTGCGGCACGACTTGACCACGGTCCCGGTGCAGGGAATAATCGCACGACTTTGTAGGCAGTTAGGGACTGAATCCTGTATGTGAAACCTTTTACAATTGTTCACCTTTGTTTTGATCCACTGAAGCGATGCATCCGTGGAACCCTCCGCCAACGTCATGGCCTGTTCCACCGCAGCCTACGAACGCACCTTCGACGTGGCCGCAATCATCACAGAACGTACATCTATTTGGACATCCTTCAGCCTTGCATCCTACATGGTCTTCTTCAGCTTCGATCATGCCGTCTACACCATCCCCAACATCGTTGCCGTTTACCTCATTGTCTCCGGCTCCTCATGCAGTACCAGGCCCACAGCTCGTACCCACCATGCCTGCACCTTTGGCCTCCGAACCCACGATGGCGCACACCGCTCCTTCGACTTTCCCTTCTCCTTCGGCACCCACCGCTCTACCTGCCTGGCCTTCTCCTCCGACTTCATCTTCTACGTCGACTCCACCACCTACATCGACTATGCCACCGACACCTTTGCCAAGTTCCCCTTACCCACCCCATCACATTCAACCTCCATTACAAACGAACGCATTGATGGTTTCTCCAGATGAACATCCTCCACGGCCTCCTGCAGTTAAGGCAGCTCCCAGACCTCGCTCTGACAAAAGAATGGATCGACCGCGCAGGCCAGCTTCAAAAGCCCCTTCTTCGACTACACCACCCAAGGCAGCACCGACGTCATCCGTGCCACCCGAACTGGTTGCATTGGGTTCCACTACACAACAACTTGCGGAATCGGTTCGACTTATTCAAGCTCAGCAACAGGTGATCATGGACACTCAACGGGCCCAAGAACAACGTCAGCTACTTCTCCAACAAGATGGACCTCCACCGAACCCTATTCCACACATACCACCACCTACGCCCGTGCCACCAATGACAGCCACACCTCCACCCGCACCGAAAGCCAGACCTACCGAACCTGACGTTCCAGACCTTCGCATTGTTCAAGTCCCAGCCATTGCTCCTCCTCACCCACTACCAGTTCCATCATCCCCAACACGCAGGCCACGATCCAGGACTCCACGACCACGTTCCCATCGACCTTCGGTACATTCTCATCGCCATCGCCATTCTCCTCCACGAGCAGAGCGACCTCGTTCTCCTCTCCCTCGTCATCGATCATCCACAAAACCCGACAAAGGCCGCAGAACTCCATCTCCATACAGACGACGCTCCCCACCACGACGCCGCTCTCCCGCGGTCCCTCGACGTCATCGATCTCGCCCACGTCCACGTTCCGCGACACCACGTCACAGATCCAGAGGCCGTGAAGTCATACTTCGACCAGCTGCGAACCCATCGAATCCGAACTACATCCCCACTCCCGATGCTGATGACACCTGGGGTACATGGAACGACAGTCACTACACCGACAACGACCATCACCACAATCCTCGACCCAATTCTCCTGCCGGTCCACCACCAACGGAACCACCAACCAACCCACCAACCCACACTCCAGCACCACTCGGCGCGGTGTCCTTCCGAGTTCCGGACGGCGACAGTGAAAATTCTGAATTTACAGATACAATTTCGCTCACCAAGTTTGACACGAATGACATCGACCTCGATGAAATGGTGGCGGCGGCCAATGACCCCCATAGGGTCCGTTGCCTGACTGAACTTGACCCCGATCATGTTGTTCCTCTACGCCGATCATTGACCCCGGCTATCTTGCAGCTCTTCAACCAATTTGTGGACGCGATGTTCGAAAGGTTGGCTCAACCATACCGCACCGTCAACAACCATCGTATTTACATCAAAGCAAGCCACGCCACCGTCAGGAATATTGCTAGGGCCTTTGCACAATCCGACTTACTGGACATCGAACTCGCAAGGCAAACACAAGCCTTCTACATCGAGCCAGAGAACTTGCTGACCATCACGGTTCCCACAGGATTGAAGAAGAAACCAATCTACCGTGGCGAACACATGGGCACCTACCTGATCTACCACAAAACAAGTTGGGAATCAGTTGCCAAAATTCTTGCGGAAGACGGCATTCGCCCGGCAACTTGGACCAAAAACGAAGCCGGCATGCCGACTCAATACCCATGTTACGGGTTCTTCGGAATGTCCTCAGAGATCGCAGACATCGACCACCTACCCGGCTATGCTGTCAAGATCTGTACCTCTCAGCTCTACAAAACAGGCAAAGGACAAAACCCCTCAGGCCTAATGGCCATATGCCGCTCACCCAAATGCATCCGCGCCCTAGCTGGAGGAAATGACCAAATCCAGCGCTTGTGCAACCTTGCGGGCATCGCCAAGGGCAAAGACAATGCAACGGCTATGAACTCAAGCGCCGCACCTATATGCTACGTTGCCTCCACTCACACGGTTTTCCCGGGCTTGATCACACACCAGACTGCAGAGACCAATGCACCTTTGGAACCTCCTGATGATTCTGCACGTCCAGTACGACCTGACCCTTCTGCCGATGCCCCTGAACCTTCGGAGCCGGCCCCGGATGACTCTCGCGACACACCGAGCCACCGCGAAACCGCGACCTCTGGCTCTCGGGACTATGCTCGCCGATCTTGGCACGACAATGCCTCTTGGGACAATTCAACCTATAACCACCGAGATCGCCGATCCTCATACCAGGAAGACCACTCTCGTGACCAGCATCATGAAGGCCGACCTCGTTCTCGACATTCGACCCACTACTCTCGATCTCGTTGGTGAACTCTTTGCCCTTGAGAAGCACCGGAACTAGTATCGACTATTCTACGTCAGCGATACAGTGAGCCTAGTGGCCCCGCCCGATCATTTTGGAGTAACAATGCTTCTCCCGACATTCGGTATTGCCGCCACTTCTTCCTCAAAAGGTTTGTGAATCGCTGCATGCTCATATTGTTGATCCTTTCGCCGATTCGTTTTCACTTCACGTTTCACACACTGTGACCACGTATTATGTCTCACACCTTTTCAATTTCACAATACCCTTGTC